ATTTAACCATTGTAAAGTTTTAAGCGCTTAAAAAGAAAAAAATACACACTTTAAAAAATGTTTAAATGTGCCCAGAATCCAATTGTACCAAGTACAATGTGAGTGCAACCATTGGTGTGTCAATTCAATCAAACCTTAAATGGAACGTCCATTTAAATCAACTGAACACTAAAATTAAGTTCTTTATGGTTCGCTTTTAGAATTCTTTCAAATTCAGTCAGCCTCCAAATGGCTGGTTGTGTATATTTCGCAAATGTTCATTCCCGCCTGAGATATGGCATAATATTCTGGGAAAATACATCTTATAGCTCCCAGACTTTTATTTTACAAAAAAGAATTATATGAATAATAAGCAAATACCACCCACGTGATTCTTGTAAGCCTCTCTTTATTCTTCTAGGTATCTTACCATTACCTTGTCTCTTCATATATGAATCAGTGGTTTTTGTTAAAATTGATTCACTTAGGGGTGGGAATATATTTCCAGTAAACGCTGACATCGATAACTACAACACTTGACGTAGTAATCATATATATCAGGTGACAATACCAACAGCTCGCTACAAAAAATTCACAAACAATACAATACATTATTTCACAGAACCTTGCCAGATGACATTAAATGATTAAATTCGATACAAAAGTTTAAGTCCCAAGTCTGCTGCACATGCAACAATTTCTATTCAATAAGAGACTATACTGAGCATCCAAAAAGAAAGTAATATTAATTTTTAAAACAACATTTAGTGCATTATTTACCATTTTGATTGTATAATTCTAAAGAACTTGTGACAAGTATTGTACTTCAGCTTCTGGGTCAATGACCCCCAACTCGATCAGGTTTTTGTCGTTTCCCTGATCCTTAAGCAAATGCTGAGATGGCCCCTTGTTTTGCTTCTGGATATAAATGTAACTTCAATTTAACTTCTCCCTATAGCATGTCACACACAGTTTTTAACGGTTTTTGACGTAAATAAATAAATAGGGTGCAACTGGAGGATGGTTAAACCTTCAATTCTTCAATCCTACTTATCACTGTCTTCCAGATGATTCAAGAAATACTTTCTCTGCTTTTGAGTAGCTGGAGCACTGCCCATCTTTTGTTGTCCAAGAACTGCTATGCTCATTAAACAAAGTACCTTCCATTTCATTTTACTGATCTACACAGTACATGATTAATTTAAAATGGCTGATTTGATGCATTCATTAATTCTTTGTAAACTTCCAACAACAATATGTGTCTTAAAAGAGAATAAATGTATAAAGTTAAATTCCGTGGTGGTAGCGGATATCTTGTGGTAATCCATGGTATTGTAAAGGAAATAATCTCCACAAACTTTGTGGAGATTATTTCCTTTACAATACCATGTATAAAGTTATGTCATTAATGAAAGTTTGTTCGATATCATCAATTTCAGTATAATTCCTTTACTGTGCATCATCATGGATGATCGTGATACAAAAACAAAGGTTTTGTAGCAATAAAAATGAATGTTGTGGATATATCTTCTCCTTATTCAAATAAAATGCCACACAACATTAATAAAAGATAAAAATAATATTCTCTGACATGTTCTATTTATAAACACAAAATATTATTTGGAAAGCTTTTGGTGAATTTCTCAATCTGTGAAAGGAAACATACAATCTTACAATAATTTAATTATTAAACAGTGGCTACAATATTTAGAGAGGCTTTCTTGACCTCTAAAATAATGTGTCTCCAGATACGGAGAAAATGAATTCTCAGAATACATTTATTGTAAGGTTTTTAAGAGTGTAGCTTTTATGTTCATATTTACTAATACTAAATTGTTTTTAGCAAAATTTTGTGACCACGGTAAAATAGCAAAATTGTCTGCACACAATAAAACACACAAAAAGGGAATTAAATCCACGCTTATAACAAAAGTGAAAGAAATTTAAACATCTCAAAATATGACTACATACGGGCCATCTACATGATAAAAAGATGTCCTTCTCTCTTATATTATGATATAATTCGCTTTTCCTCAAAGCGACAAAGAGGTTTGAGAGCAAAAGTTCATCACTGCCATACACCTCTAATTGAAAACCTGTCAGATTATTCCAATTCAACTAAATCATTCCAATGTAGGGCATGCTCCACACAGAGGCATATGCTATCTTCTTCACTCCATCTGGGGTTGATTCTCCTTGCAGGAGGTAACTATACAAAACGTGGCAAAGACCAATTCGAAGATGATAAAATTACATCATCATGCCTAGACAAAAGAAATGTGAATGCATGGCTTTACAGAGTCTTCAATCAAATCCAATTTAAATGTGGAGAACAACTTGCATTTACTTAGCAAGTCTAAGATAAATCAAGATATTGAAAACGTCCAATATAAGGATATATTACATATAATTTGAAGTAGAAAGACACATAAAAAATAAAGAAATGCAACAATGACTTCCTGTCTCAAACTTAGAAGAAAAATACATTGCAATTAAATATACATGAATCATATAGATCAATCAGGTAGAGATAAGATTATTTGTAAATAGAAATATTAGAGAAAGAATAAAATATAGCAATTCATATTACCTTACAAATTGCTCATTGTTTAAACTGCAAAAACCTTACTTTACAATCACAAATTGCTGACTTTTTTCTTTGAAGTCTTAAAATAATCATGGATCAGTAAGAAACTGGTAACTGAAGTTCATACATTTAGCACTAGCCTAGACCTAATATTCTCAAAGACTTATACTGTAGGACTTCAATCATGGAAAATTGTATTATACAAATGAATTATTTTTTTTTAATTAATATGTTCAATTGAAGTCAAAAACCTTCATTTTTCTCATATGTCGGAAGATCATAGACAGTCTCAGTATCACACATTTCATGTTCTGCCCATGAGTTTCAATTTAGATTTTCTTGAATTCTTTCATTACTGAGAACATACATTTCATTAGTACATATCGACTTCAATTGTCAGTGAAATAAAAATTTCCAAATAATCTCATTCAAACTATTGTTTTTCAAAATTTACACAGTGAACGCACAAAACTGTGCAAAACTAATACTGGTAGAATACACTGCACTGCAAAAGATATCCTCACTTAAGTTATATTGCAAGATTTCATTGTTTCACTTTAATTTCCATAATTATGACTTCCATAATCCTACATCAATTTGCTGGATTTAAAAAGGAACGCAATGCAATTAGAAAATTAAGTTGACATACATTGACATGACATTCTTTTTATTCAATTTAAATGTATTAATTTTTAAATTATTCAAAGAGTGCCTGTGTCTATCACTCATCATTATGCTTGTAGTTGACATCAAAGTGATCTCTTGGCCCATTTTTTCTGCTAGCGGTTACTTTATAGTGTAAAAGACATCCTCCATGAATGTGGAGTATAAACAATTTTCAGTGACTTTCAAGCTGGCATGTTTGTTTTTATTGTTGAAATGCTTTGCCCAAACCTTATTCTGTCATTATTTGTAACCATTCTCTTTACAAGATGTACCCTGAAAACTTCCCTTTGAGATTACCACCACAAATATTTTACAGTAAAGCGAAAGAAGATGATATTTTGGACCACAGTATAGCCAAATCTTTTACTAGTTTCATCTGTCAGTAATTTCATTGAATCAATATACACGAATTTGCCAAAAAAAATTTATCACCAACCCATTAATGTGTCATATAGCAAAAGAAGTTTATACTGCAACTTAACAAGCAGTTAGAAAACGTTCTCTTCAAAAAGAAGTGTAACAATTTGGGAAGAGGATTCATATGTATTAACATAAATTTACAAAATTATTTACTAGTAAACAATAGAATTAATTTATCAAGTATCTACTATTGGTTTCAAAACATTCCAAGTAAAATAAGGCTTTATTTGTTTGCCCCACCCCCTTTTTTTACTTGTCATTCCATTTTTTTTAAATTCACTTAATTTTTGTGAGGAGAACCAATATTTTAATGACTTGTTTCAAATGTTACAAATCTAGAACCAATGGGTGAATTCTTGAATTAGATATCAATGCAACAACAGTGTGTTGAACAAAGATATTTCGTACTGAATGAGAATTTAGAAGAGGTAACCAATTTGCAACTTCCTTTGTGTGTTTCTTGCATATTGCATATATATGCTAAAAAGGAATAGGTAGACAATTTCAGTTTTACTGATAGCGAGAAAGAAATTCAAGTATATTTCAAGAAATCCTATTTGAAAAAAAAAAGAAAATCACTCCAGATATCTATTCTATGAAAAAACTTGACAAAACCACAGAGATGAAGCTACAGTGGACAGAAATAACATCAAACGTTCCCGTTTCTTCAATAACATCAAATAGTAATTCATCAGGTACACAAAACGTTTTTATTGCCTCATTAGTGTCAATTTTCATTTGAGAAATAAAATTTCCTTTAATAACATCAAAAAAATTACTGATGATATTTATAACAATTACTTTTAATTTACAAATTTTGTTTTAACTATATATTTTAGAAAAATAAATATATATGCATATTTCTACACAATTTTGACTTATTACATGAATGTCTGCTCTTTAGTTATAACTCATCATTAAACTGCTAGTGCTATGATAAATTCATAGAAATGATGAAGCACCTTACTTTTTCGTTTTACCATAAATAAAGTTTGCTGGAGATTAGTCAGAGGATGCAACACATTATAAGCTAAAACTCCATTTCCTTCTGAAGTGGAGTTATGGCACTATAGTGTTGAGAAGAAACTTCAATTTTTTTTCAAACGTTTTTAATATTTAACCATTTATTAAAATGTTATCTATTTGATGTTGTCCAAACCATCACAAATTCTTAAAGAAAAATCTTTCTTAATTGCAATATCAATTTACATTGAAACTATCAAGTTTCTAGGATTTTTAATTTATTAGAGGTGCATTATTACAGCACTAATGTGTATCTACATTATCTTTTCTATTTTTGTACAAAATTCAAAGTGAAACAAATCAATATATACACACATCAGCATACCTTCTGGGCTTTGCACATTGTGTTGACTGCCTGCACATCGTGACTCGTGTGGCGGGTGTCCTGGAGGCACAAAGGACACAGTGACACTTTGCATACCATGCAGTACAACGATAGGGTCTCATTCTCGTGTTCACTGCATTGTGTATCTCTATCTTGCGCTTTAGTTCGTAATGTGGCACGACCAACAAGCGGTGACAATAAATTATGTTTAGCTAAAGGACCGCGAGGAGGATGACAATTTTCTCGACACTCCTCACAATACAATATTTCGCACTGTTCGCACAGCACAACTGCATCTGCAGCTGGTTCCGCCTCGCATAATTGGCATTTCAGGATGATATTTCGTGATTCGTTGTATTTATCAACAATTCTTTGCATCGCTCTATACTTCGGCAAGTTCAGAGCGCCGCTTTCGTCGAAGTACACGATTTTTTGACATAATGGACATGCCAAAGATAAAGCACTGCTCACTACGGGGGGAAATAACAATCCTTGAATATGTGGCGTACCCACATAACTATTAGGGCGACTGTTGCAAACAACACCACTATCAGTTTCACTCAGTATTGAGAGTTTGTCAACTTCTTGGTAGTCTATAACACTGAGCTCACTCCCACCACTCGTTTCACATCCACCCGCGCACTCCAATCCGGAATTCAAAGCACAATTGGAAGGAGGATTTTGCGAAGCAGGCTGTTGTAAATGAACGGCGCAATTAAGACATAAAGCGTGATAGCATGGTAGCAAAACAGGATTATTGTAAAGCTTCTTACACGCAGGACAACGCAATTCTTCCTCCATCTTCTAACATAATGAAGATTGGAACGGGTCATTAATGAGCAGTCGTAAGAATGTGTCGTTCGCGAACGAGAACTATTCCCAAAGAATGATCCAATGGACCACATTGTACAACGAGTCGTTCGACGTTTTAGTGAACGATCACTCAAGTGAACGCTTTTAAAGGGTTGTTACTATTATGACATAAGTCATGGCATATACCACAAAACTTGAAAACACGCATACACGATGACATTCGGTTCAACGACTTTTGCTCAAGTAACACTGGAGTCGACACGCCAGCTTTAGTTTGAATGATGGCATTACACACAGCATTTTATTAACACCTACAATAAACTTCTATTCCACTGAAAACAATAACCACGTCTATAAATTAAAATTTATAATGTGATGAAAATACTTCACTAGCTTAACTTTGAAACCGGCCTTCTTGAAGTGGAAAATTAACATCATTGTCTTATGTTATCATGGTACACTTTCCTCGCAATGACCAGGAGCACAGTGCAATTCAAAAAATTAAAAAAGAAAATCCCAACGCTAAGATATTCAGTGATTGGGACAACTTAATCGGACCAACCAGCCTGATAATTATTTTATGGAATGGCAAGGAAGGTCGCAGAATGGCGACCGAAACGTCGGCACCTTCGCCATGGACGCGGTGTCACCCGGACAGCCTAGTAAATAATGGTAAAGTCATTTCCAGCCACGTGTCCGGATACTTTTGATCACATAGTGTATTTATTTATTCTCATTTACCACGCAAATTGTAACGCATTCGTTACATGGCTACTATTTGCTAGACACTTTTTACTCGGGACACTCTCAAAGCAGACCTGAAAATCTTCACACATAAATAATAATTTAGATGACATATCCGAAGGTTCAAAGAGGTCGTTCAAAAAAAAAAAAGGTTTGACGGTTGGAGAACAATAGGCCGCACAGGAGGAACTGCCAACCGTCCATTCGCGAAACAAACAACACAATAACCACTACTGAAAACAGATTCTGTTTTTGATTAGGACAAGTGACAGAAGATAGTGGATTTCCTTGTTTTCCCATAGAGGAGAGATACAACTAGAGTGCGCGCCAGACTGTGCAGAAGGCCTAGCTGGGTATCAACATCTCTCGCGCCCGAGTCACGTGACTTTGAGATAGTTGGGAGGCATCTGCTATACAGCCGCCTCGTACTAAATGATTTCTTTTAATACGTGCGTCTAACACGCTTCACTCAAGCGTTATTTTCTCATTTATTACACAGCCCTACGAATGCTGCTTATAGCAGAAAAGTTATTTTAAGTTATTCTGCCCTATTTAATTAACTGCATGAAAGTTCCAATTTTTGTCCAACTTGTCACTCTTAACCGCGTACCCCACTACACCTGTTTTACAAGTTCTATTACACAGGAAAATAAATAAAAAATATTTGTAAAATAAATTAACTCCATGGGAGGCATTAATCCAAGTTTCTGTTACTACTCAATGCTAGACATTCTGCTATTGATAATCAACATCAGACATATAACAGCAAGTTATCAAAATATTTCAAGGATTTGTAGAGGGGGGAAACACACTTATTTTGATATATATTTTGATTTATTTAATTAAAAACATTAAATACTGTATGTGGCATACGGAGGAGAAGTACCATCTGCACACATTTTCT